ATTTAGAGCTTAAAATAACGATTACCAAACAATCAAAGCCAAATATCTATAAAACAAGGATTGATTTTAGTGCTATGAAACAAAATATCTTTCTTATAGAAATGGATGAAAACAAATCTGAGACAGCTCTATATTTGGTACCGAATGTTTATTTGTTTTAACTCTTGTTTCAGAAATGCTCAAATACTGAATGACATAACTGCCCCTGCTCTTGTACATGCAAAATATGTCAAATAATGTGATGTTTGACCCTTTAACCTTGACCAATGCAACAGAGGGACAATTAATGCCTTTCCTCCTCCTACCATAGATTGCAAGTTGACTGGGGCAAAAATATACATGACTGAGGCAGTGTCTAAACCCGAGTTGTACATACAGAGGGCACAAATATGCACGACTGAGGCAGTGTCTAAACCCGAGTGTACATACAGGGGGCACAAATATACATGATTGAGGCTGTGTCTAAACCCGAGTTGTACATACAAAGGGCAGAAATATACATGACTAGGGCAGTGTCTTAAACCTGAGTTGTACACACAGGGGGGCAGGGGCAGAAATATACATGACTAAGCGGTGTCTAAACCCAAGTGTACAAACAAATGGCAGAAATATACATGTCTGAGGCAGTACATATCTACTGGCCTATATACCAGGAGAATGGCTAGCTATAAACTAAACCTAATTGTTTCTTCAGTATTATAGTGCCAGACGACTTAGGCCTGCAGAGCTGACTACAACATGATGTCCTCCTCTCTATAGGTACACATATTTCTCACCTGTTCATCCTCTGGCTAAAGTGGACATGAGGGTTACATAATTTACAGTAGATAACTGTCCAAGATAACTATGGAATGTCAGTCTTTATCTTCCTAAGGTCATGACCTAGACCCCTGGCTATTTGAGGTCATGACCTTTGGCTTTGTGTGGTCATCAAGAAGTTTAGTATTTTGCTAGAGGTGCAACAATATTTATCTCACATATTTCATATCTCAGACAAAACTGTCCATCTAACACTTTACACCTGAAGAATGATTTCAAAGACACAACTTTTAAACAGACACTTGGTCTTCTCTGCATGAACTCTTCTAGAACTCATAATAGGTCTAACATTTAATAAATGACTCAGACTAATATCTTAATATTTATACATTCACACAAATGTATGAACTTGTTTCTTACCTGTTTCTGGATTATTTGTAACCAAACTCTGTGTGCAATTAACCACTTTTAATATCAGAATCATATCCTTTTCTTTGTCATTAAAGATGTATTTTTGGTCACATGAAATTTGCCTGCATACCCCCATTACTTCAAACCGAATTTAACAAAATGAAAAAAAAAACCATTTTTCTAAAATTTAAACTTAAATATCCAATTTTCTTCTACAGCTAGTCTGGCAACCATAGCTGTAAAAGAAAGTAGAATATACTATTCACTATTAGCCTATCTGGCTTCAGAAATTGGTGTGCTTTGTTTATATCATGGATATGTCACTTGTTTTCATTTCACCTTAATCTTTTCCAATATCTCAATAAAACAAATTATTAAGAAAAGTCATGAATTTCACTCTTAATGAAATTTCTTTCCTTTTCCAGCTATAAACATCAAATCAATAAAATTGGGTGTAGCCAATCACACAAGGTAAACAACGACCAATATTGCCCTCCTTCAACAGCAGGTATCAATATACTATGAAAACATGTTATCTTCAGACAGCCCTCACTGCCAGATACAACACACATCTGTCTACTGCCTTTCTCTGGTCTGTATCAGCTAATGTAACTGCATCCCTGTAAACATGACTCTACACACCAGTCTCAAATTCTCCCATCATCTACTGTTGAATATTCCTAATACCCATCTGATACTGCAATAGGGTACCCACTGGTCTCAAATTCTCTTGTCATCTACTGTTGAATATTCCTAGTACCCATCAGACACAGCAGTAGAGTACCCAATGGTCTCAAACTCTCCTATCATCTACTGTTGAATATTCCTATTACCCATCAGACACAGCAGTAGAGTACCCACTGGGTTCAAACTCTCCCATCATTCACTGTTGAATATTCCTAATACCTGTCAGTTTCTACTACCTATACAACACAAGTGTCAATGATTAACCCCTCTTTGTCAGCATCTTTTTTTAAAACTACAGTTATGAAATCAACATCACAACAATCTGAAGGACATTACAAGTTATACAAACACAGATTATTAAAGAAGTCTTCTTTCAACTGTACATTAATTCTGTTGCATTGATAGTGGGAAAACGACATTATTTATTTATATTGACCAAGATTGACATGATGAGTGATGTAGCACTTTTTTCGAAATTCTCTACATCATTAAATTGTTCACATTTTGCCTTACTTTCAATGGATCCGAGTTTAAATAACCTGCTGGGTCAGATTCTGTCAACATGTTAGGGTTTTATCTTTTGTTGTTTATCATTGTGTCTGAACCGAAGCTTGAAAAGTGTGGTGTTTACATATTCACGCATTTGTATTTCAATGTACTGGGAGGGGCAGATTTGGAGGTACAAACAAGCTCACTGGCATGCACCTTCATAAAGGTACAAATGCATGTTTGAGATTTCAAATAAACAACACAATCCCATCCTTGAGTTTTAATGCCCACCGAACAGGTTTTTATTTCCCACCCAATTACTCAACAGTTTGTAGACAAGAAGATGGATACTTAATCTAATCGTTCATCCTGACAAAAACATCACAGGAGCCAAGATTGATGACGCGTTAAGAAGAACAGGTTTGGTATCATCTGAAGCATCTCTGGTGGGGAAAAATCCCAAAAGGCTACATGCACCTGAATCGGGCACTTGTAATACACCAATTACACCTAGTATCTGAGATAAAGAACCCTTAAAAAGTAGTGACATCCTATTCTTCCTACCATGTGCTGATATCTGATCATAGGCCCACCAACACCTATTATAGCTTGTAAAGAAATGCTACATCATTGCTCTGAAATAACCCCACCCCCCAGGTTTCAGTCATGAACTCGGAACAAATTGCACTAGAACCAAGATGTAAACACTGGCCAATTCCAGCATTAATTAAATAAATCCTTACTTCTTTTTACTATTCTATCATATAGGGTGGTCCAGTGGTGTGATTCCTGGAACAGACGTGAAAAGTTATGGATCACTTGCCTGACCATGTGGGATTTTCCCAATACTCCCGTTTCCTCCCAAAGTAAGACCCCACCTTGGAAGCTTCTATTCGCACCAACAAAAGTGATTAATGCAAGCTGATAATTTGTTTCACAGTTGTAAAATAAATAAAGATTATATTTAGTCAATCATTGACCAGCTTGATATTCTAACAGTAAATTATGGTCTAATATCAACATTTTCAACGCAATACTACTCCATAAACCTTAACAGAAAGATCCTTAAAAGGGAGGGAGCCAATGTCAGATGCAAATAAGTGGATATATGGTGGGTACGTCGCTGTGTGAGTATGGATACCATGGTTACCAGAAAGATGTGTCATTTAAGTATCATAAATGCACCCACTGACCATTATAATCATCTCTATAATCATGAAGAAAAACACAAACCATACAACATGTAAAAATGGGCATTTAGAACTGATAACACTGCCAAGCATGAATATCTTATAACAGTTTAAGAGTAAGAATCTGCATGATAAGACATCAATTTGAGATACAGAGAATGTAAATGCAAGCATTAACTTACTTAAGACCATCACAAGTTACTTTAACATACCATAATTCAGCATATATTACCAATGTCACTTATAACTACAATAAATGCCAGAACAAGCCATATCCAGGCTCTATGTACAATTTAGAGTCATATTACCAGCAGCCTGTCCTCAATGAACTGCTGAAGAAAATCCAGATGGCCAGACTACATCTGGGAACTTAGAGTACAATTTGATCCCTCCCCCTGATGGTCATATAAAGACACTTCATCTACCAGACAGTAATAAAAGGGGCCCTTCAATCTGGAGCATCTCCAGACAGTGTTACTCTTGACATGATGCATATAATAATCTGCATCAATTTTAATATAGATAACTGGGAGACTGGATGAATAAAGTGTGTGGTATAACTTTACAAGGTCTTCAAAATTAAAATATAATGCAGTATGGTTGTTCTGAACAATACCATCAGGCTGATAACTTTCAAAAATATTTTCAGTACCAGTCACATTTTCACGATAATCTTATAATCTATACCATACACATACAGGTTATTTCATTTCAATTCTTTTTTGTAGATAAAAAAGTATATATTTAAATTGTATAGCAGTCCAAAGTCAATTGGGGATGGGGGCCGGTTTAAGTATCTACCAAAACACAACCAAATGACCTGCCTGTAGTCACAGCTTCATGAAAAATTGCCCTGAGGAGGGAGGGGTGGAGAGGCTGTAATTCAATCTGATGGACCACTGATGAGGTCCCTTGCCCGTATGGCAGAAAGAAGTGCGATATTGTGGAAGGGCAGGGATGGGGTCTGATGATCAATTGAACTGAAACACATTCCTGACAAAAAGTCTTAAATAAAACGTGCTTCGATGTAAATGTTAATCAAAATTGTTCAATAGGCCTTCATTAAAAACCCTTTTTTTCTGGTTCTACATATGTGTTTACAGTGAATGCACCAACTTCGACTGCTTTGACATATAAGGCTAATGTTCGTCATACACGTATGCTATTTCATATTCTCAACATTAAATTACAGTAAATTAAATTATAAAGACGTCGTTTAAATCACAATTAATTTAATTAACGAATTTTGAGTTAAGTGAGTAACAAAACGGGAACTAAGGTTTCAATTATACCATATTCAATGCGAAATATCTTACAGATGTTGAGCACGTGTATGCGATACACACGGGCACCTGTCAATTTATTCGTTTTTGAGACAGTCCCTTGAAATAATTAGTTGAACGAAGCCGGGTACATACCCAACCCGCCCCACAGTAAAATTTTGGATTGTCTTAATTATTATACCTCTTTGGCACATTCGAGTTCATGTTTGATGGTCTCGCAGTGAGCCTCGACCTCCTCAACCTGCTGCTGAAGTCGTTGTTTCTCCTCCAGTACAGCCAAACCATATTCTGCGGCCTGAAGTTTTTCCGTCGTGGTTTCAGATAATTCCGTTTGAAGTCGTTCGATCTCTCGTTTAAGATCCTCCATGGACGGTTCTTGACCGCTTTGGTCCGACATTTCGGTTGCTGGGCTCACCGAGACTCTACATAAGGACGAAAATTGGAAGAAAGTCTAAGGGAACCTTTCCCTTCTCGTGCTGGTCGCCATATTAATTTATGCAGCTATGTCGGGGATCACGTGATTAAGCGTACCGTCGCATCATACGGAGCAGCAGATAGGCAAGGTCTTAAATAATGTAGCCTTTGGCAAAAGGCGGAATGATCTTTCATATGTTTGAAAATGTTGAAGAAAATCGTAAAATCATTGTTTACTAAGGTAAAAACACGAACACTACAGGAATTTACTCATACATATATCATTGACCTAAAACTTACATTTACTAATTAAATGCCAGTTTAATTGTAAAGAATATACCGAAATACCTGATGCTGAAACCAGAGACGTATATATCACATGTTATTTATGTCTCTGTTGAAACTAACTTTGGTCAAAACGGATGTTTATGTCACTTAAAAGAAAAGTAAATCGGCAGGATATATCAAAACATATGAAATTTAGAAATGCTTTTATTTTTCAGAATGAAAACAGTACTGTGGATATAAAATGTCAGGTCATTTTCATTTGTTTAATTACAGCACATGTAGAGTGTCTTAGCACCACAGACTTAAATTATTCTATGTCTATACTAGCACCAAATATTAATTGTGAAGATTTTGAGAAGATATTTGAATATCAATGTTTCTCTGTCTATTTCCTATTTCAAAAAGTTATCTGAACTCCTTGTGAAATTTCAGCATTTTTTTAAAGGTTTCATATTGATTTTAAATCTCCTTAAATTCCAAATTCAAATAACAATTTAAATAAGATTATCACCACATTTTTTTTAAGTTAGTCTTGGACTTCAGATTTAGACAAAACAAGGTGTATTATCATGTATTTAAATTTAGAGATAAGTTTTTCAAGAACATTTTCAGTATTTCAATCCTGTCAGAATTCTGAGTCAAAAATAGTCAGAGTTCTGTCAAAAACTCCTTGTTTTTAGGATTACTGGATGATATAACATCATGCAATTCGAAAAGGGTTTAAAAATCAGATTATTTCATTATTTCCAATACTTAAAATGAAAAAAAAGGAAAAAAAAAAGAAAAAACATTTTTCCCATATAGAAAAATCTGTATCTGGTAATTAACACAGAAATATCCTTATCACCTTGGTAATGGTATGAGGTCAGTTATAAATATTTCATAAATTGTCATATATTTCAGCATCAGCTCCTAGAATTAAGACTGAATAGATCAAAATCTTTTTTAAACAAAATTTAAACATGAAAACTTTTGCCTATGTTACTATGTTTCATCAGCAGTATAAATTGACATTAAAAGAACTGCATTAAGCTGATGTCATATGTTTGGAGTATAACCCAAAAAAAAGTTATATAGAAAATTGAATTATGTTAGAGAGATTTTAAATGTATAAGGAAGTCAATATTTGTCCATGTTTTTAAAACTAAAATCCATTGAAGTTTATTAGTGTTATTATATATTCCCATAATTTCACAAGATTGATGTTCATACAAATATTTACTTAACATTTTAAAGTTGAAAATGATTGTACAGTGATCAAACTAATGATTCTTTCTTTGTCAAAACAAGGGGTAAATATTACTGTATAGTTTCCAGTTAATGTATCAGCTTTTACATGGGTCAAGTTTGAACATAAAGCCAATATTTGGTTAAGTATGCAGGAGTTATGTCCCTTGACAAATTGCTCGAGTAGCATCATTCACAATGCCATGCACAGAACTATTTGTATCCTCAAACACTTTTTTAATATGGAAGATTAACATTTGTGATATATTTGAATCACCTTTAATATGAATACATGTACCTGTCGGTGAATTACAGACAAATACAATTTCTCAGTATCATTTAGCTTCTTTTCCGTTTTTCTATTGAGAGAGATTTCATTTGGAAAACATACTGCAACTGAATGCTCCCTGATCAAGTACTGATAACTCCTTGTACTGTTAAACAGTAGACCACCAGCAGGGCTATCTACAAGACATTCCAATCAAACTTTCACTTTATTTAGAGCAACAGGAGGATCTAGCTTCCTCCTAGACATCAACATTTAAGGGATTAAACAGAGATATTATACTGCATCCAATTCCTTGACCTTTCAGTCTTTCATTTTACTTTTCAGATACATTGATGATATCATCTTGTCTTCAAATAATAAGGAATTTATTGACCACGTCCTTTGTATATATCCACCAGGATTTAACTTCAAAATCAGCCACTTGATCTTTTCCTACAACAAAACCAACATGGACAGCTATCCACTAAGCTGCATGGTAAGTGTGAAAATTTCCCTATAAGAAATTCTCATTTTCTGGATAGCAACACTACTGCATCCCCAATCTTTTGCCTTGATATGGCTCAGTTGGTTCAACATTCTAGGGCCTGTTCCCAATACCTGTTCTTGCAAAATGTTGGCAACTGACACAAGTTTATGGAAAGTTTTTGGTTGTCATAATGGCCGTGTGGAGAAATATTCTTTGTGCGATATAAATCATATAATTATAGCTTGACTTGCTTGATGCTCGTTAGTTGTTAGTCTGTTGATTCTGTTGTTGATTACCTTGTTCCCATTTTGGAACATGACATTACTTACTACTTGCTTGAACAAACCAAGATTTACTTAGTGTGTCATTGATGAAATAGAAGACACTTAACCTTCTGGAACACCTTGTCTTATTCTACTTGTGATTTTTCATGAATCTCTTTTTGAATCTATCTTTTGTTCTTATTTTTCCACAGTTTTGTCTAATATTTTTCTATTAAGATTCTATTAAAATGTTCTTTGTATTGAAAAGCAAAGCTCTTTTCAAACAGATCTCCTAGCCTTTAATGTGATACATATTGGAATAAAAAAAAACCCATTTTGATACGATATCTCAAACAAGTGCAGTGTATTCATGTACCTAAATCTAGGATGGTTATGATGATTTATGAATTAAAATAATATCCTGTGCTCTTTTAATTTTTTATTATAGCCATTTTTGGCCAGGTTGCACATATTGCAAATCCAGGTTATAGTATGGTGAATGTCGGGCGGGCGGCTGGGCGGGCGGGAAAAAGGGGTACCAGTTTTGTAGAACCAACTCCTCCTAAATTTTTTGACAGAAGCTTTAAACTTTGTAGAATGTTGAAATATATGTTGAAGATGTGCACCTCTTATTATGGATTCATTCGAGACATACCAGGTATATTTGGATTTTCCGGGCTTTGGAACTTAGTTATTTTCCGCAGTTTGGCGGGGAAAAGGGGTACCAGTTTTGTAGGATCAACTCCTAGAGTTTTTAATGTAGAAGCTTGAAACTTTGTAGGATGTTGAAGATGTGCACCTCATATTATGGATTCATTCTGGACATTTTTCTAGATTTTCCAGGCTTTGGAACTTAGTCATTTTCTGAAACTCTTCTTGTTATCACGGTTTCTCAGAAACTACTGCACGAATCTTTCCGAAATTCCACATATAAATCACCTTGGAGCCCTAGGTGTCCATTGTCTATTTTTTGAACATCTCAGTATCAAAAATGGATGCAACGTCTTTCTTCAAATGCCCTTCTTCTACACCAATTCATAAAATACAACCAAATTTTCTTATAACAAATATTCTACATACTCAACAAATGAAACACCCTTAACTGTCTTATAAATGCCATATAACATTGCACTCATCCCGCAACCCGGCCAATTGTGGCTTTGCCCCATTTTTGTTTAATCAATTTGTGCAGTGCATGCCTGGTGTTTAATATTCTTTTATGACAAATAATAAAATATTTATTGGGATGACAAATTCTCTCGCAGTCCCTTCAGTTAAACTGTGTACTGTAATACAATTTTGTGCCATTTTTTTCCACAATTTCAGAGTTTTCAACCTAGAATTTGTATCATTTTTATCTTAGGATTTTGTTATATTGATAGTCATCAATACATGTGCACCTGTTGATTGGGAACATGCTGCAGTTCTTTAGATGAAGAAGAAACATGAAATCACATATGTTACATGCCCTGCTGACATAGATTTACAGCTAGGACCTTTCAATATTGAATCACATGGCATATCTCACTATACCTGATGAATTTTCTATGTAAATATCTTTGGGAAGGCATATTGTAGTGTTGTCATGTCAGGTACCCAACTATGACCAGAGTTATGGCCCTTTGATTACTGCTAGTGTGTAAGTAGATCTACAGCAACAAATCAGACCTCTGCTAAACATGCTGTAAAGCTAGAGAACATTGAACATGCCGAAACCTTCACATAAAATGTGATACATAAAGAACCTTTAGATTGATTGTGTTGTAACCTGCTTACATGGACTTTGCTGGAACCTTACTATTAACTGCTAGAACCCACTATTATAAACTGTGCTAAAACCTGTAAACATGGACTTTGCTGGAACCTTACTATTAACTGCTAGAACCCACTATTATAAACTGTGCTAAAACCTGTAAACATGGACTGTAAACATGGACTTTGCTGGAACCTTACTATTAACTGCTAGAACCCACTATTATAAACTGTGCTAAAACCTGTAAACATAGACTTTGCTGGAACCTTACTATCAGCATTAACTGCTAGAACCCACTATTATAAACTGTGCTAAAACCTGTAAACATAGACTTTGCTGGAACCTTACTATCAGCATCAACTGCTAGAACCCACTATTATAAACTGTGCTAAAACCTGTAAACATAGACTTTGCTGGAACCTTACTATCAGCATTAACTGCTAGAACCCACTATTATAAACTGTGCTAAAACCTGTAAACATGGACTTTGCTGGAACCTTACTATTAGCATTGACTGTCAGAACCCAGTAATACAGACTTGTGCTAGAAGCTGCTAACTTAGACTGTGTTAACCTATACTTACAATGCCAGTGCTAGTACCCACTATATCATGGGATGTCCAAGAATCTGACCTTACATTAGAACCTGTCTAAGGAACCATAAGACAACCACTTTCTTTGTTATACTAAAACCAGTTTTCTAAAGCAAATTTACATAATAAAGTAAATAAAAGTTTGTACTTCTTTGTCCCTACTTTATCTCAATGAATTGTGTTTTACATATCAAATATCTCAATCACTGTAAATATGAAGTAGATTTCAGTAAGGTTTTTTGCTTCCTTGTTCCGAAGAAAATATCATCACAAAGTTAAGATCTGTAAGTGATCTAATTTCTTCGTGCAACAAAATTGATCTCGTTAGAAATCAGTATGATTGCTTTGTACTGGAATTTGACTGTTGTACATTCATTTAGATATGTTCAAAAAATGTTCTCTTTAAACTAAAACTAGATAAATTAAATTTTCTAGGTATGAAAAAAAGTTAAATAGCTTGATACTTTTCTATCAGTTTGAGCGCAGATCTCTTTCTCTCCACATTTGCTAATGATTTTGCATAAAGTAAACATTCATTATGTCATATAATACATATTGTATTTATTTAGTAATAAGAAAGGGGACCGAAGTGGATATAGATAATATTAAGATTGTGGAGTCCACTTTCACATCAGGTAGGCTTATTATGAGCTCCAGGCACAGGGATTGGCCACAAATTCCCGACCCATGGTCCATATGTGAGTAATTATAGTGACTACAATACATAAATATGGACTGTGGGTCGGCAATTTATGCCAAATCCCTGTGACTGCAGGCACCTCCAAATCCAGACATGGCGGATACAATTATCATCACGACAAACACAGTTTATTACACAAATAGAACAGTATGGTTTCCACATATTCATGTAATGACACTATATATATATATAAAGAAATATTGACAAGTAGGGGTTGGCTGTATAAGATTTGTAAGTGCTGGTTGGCAGGACTCGCATATCATGCCTTAACATGTTCTTTATCCTTACTCTATTTGCCTGGTATTTTGTCTCCCTTCTTAATCATTAGTCATATAAAAGGTATGTTGTATCTGCTGATATGTAACTCTGGTCAGAGTGGTGTGAAATGCTGTTTGTGTAGGCTTTTCTTGGAGGCTCTGCGAGACCAAATATGGGCCCCTATTACTAATTAATTATTTCACAGTATGGCCACATTTGAAAAACGTACAGTTTACTTCTTGTAAATTCCTTCTCAATGAATAATTTTCTTCCCCAAATGTGCTAAAAAGACACTATCCAAACAGAGTGGAAAACAGCCATGTTTGTTTTAATATTCATTTACATATTTGATTTTTTCTTTTCAACACATACTGTATTACTGGTTGTGTTTATCTACGTGAGAACTTGAAATTTGACCGGGCGTAGAATGCACGTCAGATATCACTCTACAGAGAAATAATAACATTGAAGATGAGTAAAATTGCAATAAAAATAATTTATTTTATACATATATTCAGGTGGTAAAATGAAAGTGAAATTCATCATTACAGACATCAACAACGGAGATAATGTTTCAGACTCCAACACAACTATATGATGTACCTTTGATACATTTTCCTTCTGTAAAGTGTCAGTACTATAAACAACTCTAAATATACAACTTGTATACAATACTATGGTTATACCCATAGCACCATATAATCAGTTTTGGTCACGACTTGTGAAGTCGTCCGACATATTGTAATCACTTACTTGTCGAATGGACGGAATCGGTGATGTATAAAGGTGTGCGTTTTTCATCTTAAATTTACAATGATATTCACAATATATTTGAATATTATCGCTCCTAATTGTATTAAATCTACTTTTTATCTTTCTAAGACAGGGTAAAAAATATGTTTTGCAGTCATTATCAAACTAGATCAAAATCAGATATCTCTTAATTATCTTTATCAAACTTTGTAACAATCTTTTAATTATCTTTATATATTAAACTTGATAACAATAACACCTCTCTAAATTGTTGTAAACTTTGTAACAATCACACATCTCTAAATCATCGCTATTAAACTTCATAAAGATAACACATCTCTAAATTATCATTATTCAATTTAATGACAATCACATATCTCATTATTATTGTTGTTATTAAACAAAATAGCATAGTTCTAAGTCATACACCTTAAATTATAAGAAATAACATTTTTGATTTCTTGTTTATATTTTCATCCCTTGATTTAAAATTGTATGTATTGTCCAAATTCATCACATGATTTATGGGATTTAATTCAAAGTTGCTGTAGTTTATTAACGTTTACATATTTAGGCCCTTCTAGCAGTAAAATAAATACAAACTGAGCATATCATATACATATGTACAAAATGTGACAATCAGATATTCAACAACTACAGAACCGATCGACAGAGTTTTCTAAAACTTTCCAGTTTTTTAAACTAAGATTTAAATTCAAATACACTATACTGTATATTTTAAAAACCATATCCTTGATGTCAAAAATTTGAATAACTTAATTCCATCAATGGATCATCCATTGTACTAGTAAGATAGTTAATGGTTTCCTATATCAGGACAGAATACATCATACAGTGTGATTCTGTTTGTGTATAATGGAATACCACTTGTATGTTGATCAGGATGGCAGCTGGTAAAACAAAAATCACTTTTAATTTCAGAAACTTGACATGGTGTTATTGTCAACTGCTTTTAGAATGAGAAGAAACTTTTATGGAATTAATTCAATTTCTATCCATTTTGAAATATTGAAAAGAAAATCTATGGAGTGGAAATCAATTATGATAAGCAGCAGAGTTTTAATTCAAACATATTTTTATCACAGATCTGCTATAAAATCACAAATAGATACATATAATAAATTATGTATAAATATGGTAATTGCAATAACATCTAGTATCACTATGCATGAAACCACAGAGAATATCACACAAAAATATTTCCAAATTAGAGACCAATTTTCACTATAATTATATAAAACACTTGGGATGCTGTGCTGATTCATACAATTTGAACTAACGGTTTCTACACTGATAAGCTCGCATGTTCATGTATACTAAAAGACAAAGCACATTCCTAAAAAGGCATTAAATTTTGTATAAAGTTTTATGTTGCTTTTGATAAAATTGCAACCAAATATGTTTCATAAAAGACAACCAATACATATATATTACCACCAAATACATAGAAAACTTATGACAGAAGTCTTTGGTTTTGGTATATGAATAATTAAATACATCCTACACAAATTGTGTTGTTCGGTATAAGAGGAAAGTTGCAATAGGAAAAATAGAGCACTTTAAAAATCACACACAGCAACAATCAATGATGCGAGTACCTCTAAATATGTATCGACAGGTACCAAATTTGACAAGTTAAAAACATATTTTTGCTTGACTTAAAAATATATCTGTATACATTTTTTCATAAGGAAGATTTACTCACAACACAGTGCAAAAAGATGTCAAAATACATATATAATGGAGATTTAAACATTGTATGTGTAAACATATTGATGATGCTTCAAAAAATGATGATATAATGAGTTTAAGACAATAATTAAAGATTACAGACCATGATTTTTATTGTCATAAATCATAATGGACAAATCATTGTCATCTTTAGACAAGCTCAACTAAGAGTTATGTCCCTTGTATTAAATTGGAAAGCCTAGAAACTGCTAAAGCCGTAAAAAATACGAAGTACATACTGGTTATCTGTTTTCTTTGAAAATCATGTTTTGTCTCTATCAAACCATCATGCATTGTAATCTTCCATTTTGTTGATTTTTGAAAAAAGTTCACCAAAAAGTAATGCTGTTTTTTCATAAAACTCAAAGCTACCACTTTGATAACATATGGCATCACATAAATTTCCAAGTATAATAAAGAAATTTATATAAATGACCTTCACGTTTTAACATTATCATCTAGATCAAATTTTTGGCAGTCAATTATGTAATTTTCAGAAACTGAAAATTTGACATTCATCAGGAGACCTTCACCTCCGTCTTCCACATTTTAGTACGCCCCATGTTGAATTCCCCTTCCCCTTCAGTGTCCAGTCTTGTTTTGTATTCCATCAAAGCATTCATGCTGAGAGGTTCCCACGGTGTGGTGAAGGTTTCATAGTTATTCAAAAACTTCTGTGGTAGAGGGGCAGATTCTGAAAGGAAGATTTTTTTTAATACAACACATCTACTTGTAAAAGATATGCGTAAAGGCACTATCATCTCAATTCATGGTTATAAATTCCAAATATTTAAAATTTGTCTTAAATTGTATAATATCTCCTCAAATATTATAGTTCAGAAAAACCTCTTGTATTTCGTATTATATCAATGTTAATCAGTTATAATAAAGATTTAGCATTATTACTGTAATGTACCATGTAAATGTTGATAATCGAATTAATTAATTGAATTGTGAATCTGTGACCTATATTTCTCAATGACAATAACAACAACCAATTAACTAATGTAATCTGTGACCTACATTTAACAATGACAATAACAACTACCAATTAACTAATGTAATCTGTGACCTACATTTCACAATGACAATAACAACTACCAATTAACTAATGTAATCTGTGACCTACATTTCACAATGACAATAACAACAACCAATTAACTAATGTAATCTGTGACCTACATTTCACAATGACAATAACAACTACCAATTAACTAATGTAATCTGTGACCTACATTTCACAATGACAATAACAACTACCAATTAACTGCTGTAATCTGTGACCTACATTTTTACATATGCACACTGATGCTTACCTGCTCGCTTGCTTGATGTAAAAGAGTTCTCTGACACACCCATTACTGATTTGGACTTCATGTCTGGATGCCCACCAGCATAGGGACGTGGAATATCCTTGTACTCTCGATCTTCCTTAAACTTGTCAGAGAATTGACCTTTGACCTTAGATTCTTTTTCTGTCATAAAGACATACTTTGGCTTGGGACTTGGTTTGCGTTTGGCTGACATGAGAAGAATGAGTTCGTCATCCAGTTCCTCTCTAGACCAGGGATCCTTTTTCTTACTGCTATTAATCCGTGGGGTAGCACTCTGTTGTCTGGACCGTAGCCATTTAGTATATTCTGGGATAGACTCATCATCCTGAAGGGAAACCATAATGTAAATCTACTTGGGATTCTAATAGCTAACATAATTTCTGCATTAAAAGCTGCACCCTTTTTCCATGTGAGACAGGCATGCTGCTTATATACTGGTGAGGCTTATATGTGGAGAAAAAGAAAAATCGGCAGGCAAAAGAAGCAGGAAGCGTATTAGTACGAGACCGCACTGTGTTTTTTCTAAGTGTACCTGCCTGTTACATGTTTGTGACTTAGACAGATCGTCTAGAACCGTCATCTCTAATTGTATACATAATCCTATATCCTCTTAGTGTAAACAAAACTTAGTTACGAGAAATTTTTACTGAAAAAAATTCAAATTTACACTCTCTGTACAGATTTATTCAAATAATAGAAAAGAATTATAAGTTTTCATAACTGTAAACTGTCTTTTGTGCTTCTATCTTGAATAATAAAATCCTGTTTCATTTCAATACTTAAAAATTGAATGTTAACAATAAATTTATATCCTACAATACTTAATAAATGATAGCTTGCATTGAATATGAACAAACACTTATTGTAATTCATAAAGACCACTCACAAAATCATCCATCCAAGATGGAAGGTATCGGCCAACGCAGTTCTCCTCCCCTTCTGAGAGGTCAGGGAGTGGGTTATTGTGGTTCAGGATGCGTGTCCGATCCATGTTGCTAAGTGATGCTCGATACATCAGGTCCATTTTGTGTTTGTTGTGGCGGACACTGGTCAGCATTGATTCATCCTGGAGTCGCGCTAACTCTGGAACCTGGTGGTTTGAAATGTAACAAAGAATATTGTAAAGGAAAAATGCGGATGATAAATTATCAAGTAAACACAGTTTTTTAACAAGTCCTCCTGCTTAATAAATATTAATATAATGTATGATGGTGTTATTTACACACCTCTGTATGTATTGCTTTACACATAACCTGTAACCAGGTATGCTATGTTTATACACATACCCTGTAACCAGGTGTGCTATGGTTATACACACAACCTGTAACCAGGTATGCTTTGTTTATACACACAACCTGTAACCAGGTATGCTATGTTTATACACATACCCTGTAACCAGGTGTGCTATGGTTATACACACGACCTGTAACCAGGTATGCTTTGTTTATACACACAACCTGTAACCAGGCATGCTATGGTTATACACACAACCTGTAACCAGGTATGCCTTGTTTATACACACAATCTGTAACCAGGCATGCTATGGTTATACACACAACCTGTAACCAGGTATGCTATGGTTATACACACAACCTGTAACCAGGTACGCTGTCACAATGTCAATTATATACCTACCCTGTAACCAGGAGCAACTGTCACTATACACACACCTTGTAACCAGGTAAGCTGTCACAATGGTATTTATATACACACCCTGTAAACAGTGTGTTGTCACTATACTCACACCATTAACCAGGTGTGTTGTCACTATTTACACACCCTGTATCAATGTGTGTTGTCACTATACTCACACCATTAACCAGGTGTGTTGTCACTATACACACACCTTGTACCTAGGTGTGTTGTCACTATACTCACACCATTAACCAGGTGTGTTGTCACTATGCTCACACCACTAACCAGGTGTGTTGTCACTATACTCACACCATCAACCAGGTGTGTTGTCACTATACTCACACCATTACCCAGGTGTGTTGTCAATATATACACACCATTAACCAGGTGTGTTGTCAATATACACACACCTTGTACCTAGGTATGTTGTCACTATACTCACACCATTAACCATGTGTGTTGTCACTATATACACACCATTAACCAGGTGTGTTGTCACTATACTCACACCATTAACCAGGTGTGTTGTCACTATACACACACCTTGTACCTAGGTGTGTTGTCACTATACTCACACCATTAACCATGTGTGTTGTCACTATACTCACACCATTAACCAGGTGTGTCGTCACTATACTCACACCATTAACCAAATGTGTTGTCACTGTACTCACACCATCAACCAGGTGTGTTGTCACTATACTCACACCCTGTAACCAGATGCATTGGTATAATACACACATCTTTTCAGTAGGAAAATATTGATCATTTCACGACATCATGACAGCTGGGGGTCGGTGTGTGGATGCAAAAACGTTTACTATTTATCTTCTAAACTTTATAAAACATCCCTATAGTAAAAGTCTGACAGTAAAAAGAAAAACGCAGCAAACATTTCTGTCATATTTTGACCAAAAAATGGAAAAAAGAAAGAAAATCATACAAGAGGAAATCACATGGGAGATAATGAAAACAACAATGATCTGTTATCTTCATAAAAATGAACAACATCCAATCAACACATCTAATACTTATAACAAGAGAAAACATCTGAAACACAACAACTATCACTAAGAAAACACCTCACAAGTCAACTTAAACAAATCATTCCCTAAAATTTTTGAATGTAAGAGATGTCAATGAAAACTTTCTGATTTCAAATGGGACTATAACATTAGAGTATTTAAAGAAAAAAAAAGGGTGGGGGAAGAGGATTATATCAGTAATTAAGCCCAACATATCAGTTGTAGATATCAGGAATGTATTATTTACCTGTCACATATTTTACAGCATTTGTTTTAGAAGTTTCGTCATTCAATTTTTACACATGCACTCATGCATACTTATGCATGCAAAAATTGGAGAAAAAAAAATATTTCTGATTAATTTTGATCATGTTGACTATTTGTTATGAAGCATCATAAATTATGTTAATTCTAATCTATAAAAACAAATGTCTTTCATTTAGTTATTCTCTACTAAAAAGTAATTAGTGTCAAAATATTGAAACAATGACAACCAGAATACTTACTTTCACCCTTCGTTTCCTTCGCTAGGAAATTAAAACGGTTTTGTAATTTACAATGTTTTATAATCGATCCGTATTTTGTGGTGGTCATGGTATGATGAAGGATCACTCAAGTGACAAAGTCATGCAGTTGTTTATCATATGGAAAACACCAGACTGTTTTCCTTCTCACATTTAAACTACTTTTTCTGACCAAATCATTTTTTTGGCTTTTAATACAGATAATTACAGATAGATGTTTTTAGACCAAGAGATAAATGTTATTTTCAAAATGTTTTGGTGATTTAAGGATGTGTTTGACGACAAGTAACAAAAGATTTGGTTCAAAGATGATCAACATACGACTGATGAAATGAAAGTTAAATTTCTCATTTGTGCGTTAATGACTTTTAAAAGAATGAAAAAGTAGACTCACATCATCTTCAGCATAGAAGTTTCTGCGTACAATTCTGCGTTGACTGCCAAGGCTCTGTCGCACAAAAGCACTGTATGTCTCCTGTAAACAGAAAATCTGGATCTTTAAACTAAAGACATTAGACTAAAACATTAGACAGTCAAAACCTGTAAACCATGGAACCTCATTAAATTAGACCCTGATAACACTGACAAAGACAGATGATGAGAGCCTTTATATATTATGTTTTAACAAATTTAAAATTGAAATGTAGATTCATTACCTATCTAAGTTCAGGCATTGATGTAATGTAATGTAATACTTAGTTAGCTCCTGGATCAACCGTTTATCAAGATTAATAAATTCATCAATGAAATTTTTACAAATATATATCATAAACTATTAATGGTTTGACTACTTTTTATATCAAGAATTATATTTCATCACAAGACCCTTTTTTTTCACAGAAGGGAGATAACTCATCACAACCTTTAGTTCATTTGGGATGTTGGCATCTTCCCTCAGTAATCGCATGATTGATTCTTTACGTAGTGTTTCCCACAGCTTAGCCGCTCCGATTCTTCCTAAAAAGTAAGATAACACCAGTTAATTGTTTATCATCACAAAGATATCTTACATGACCTATAACCTCTAGTGTTGGGTTGGAAGCTCCAGTTAAAATAATGAAGCAGAAATTTTGCAGAAAGCATATATATATATGTATGATAGCTAAGCAAATAGTCAACTGATCAAATATATATAGACAGCGAGATTGAGTCTTTCAAATGTTAATTGTAATAGCTGGCCACTTTAAGTGATAGAGATACTGTTATTGCATAAGCACAAACGATGTAGAAATTTAACCTTTAACACAGGTCTCACTATTTTATAGAATAAAACTGTAACATCTTAATGGAAAATATTAAAATAACTAATGATAAATAATTCCTATTTTCAAATTTCATAAAATTTCTGACAGATCATCCACAAAAATTTTACACCTTTAAAAAGATAAGTATTTGTGACAGAAAACAACATTTATGTGAAACAGTTTACAACAAATACTGATTACCAACAATTGTTAGAATTTTTAAAAATTACCATGATTTTATAATTTTCATTTTTTTGTTGCAATTATTTAAATATAAAGAAACTTAGCTTTCTGATATACTTGTTGAATCTGCTCTATCATAAGTTGCAAGCATTTGATTTTCTCATCTTGTCTTGAGCTAGTGCAGTGCCATAACATAATCTTTTTCAGCTAGAAGACTTACCTATGCCTAATAGTGACAATGATTTTGAAAATATACCGCTTCTTGTACCCATAAGTAAAAAGTCTTATATAGGGAGAACAAAGATTAATATTTTTTACTTTTTTCTTTCCTTTTTTTCATTCTTAACAAAAACATCAACTTTTACACCATTTTAGTTTTTGTTTAGGTGAGTTCATGCTCAAAGTCCATAAATAAGAACCAGAGAGACATTTGTCTACATAAATCTGCTTAACCTGTAAATATATATATAGTTAATGAAAGACAGTTTGACGGACATGTTCAACCACACCACACAGTTGATATGAGATGCACATCGCAAACAGTAGTAGATGTATACATATACGTGAAGCATAGAACACATACACACAGTAATTTTTAAAATGACATTGACAGAGTAATGAATGGGTATTGATAAATATAATGAGTCATTCACACATTGAAAGATAACCAAATGCATTTCATTCAATAATTTTATTTATTTATTTCATTTTTTTTTTGTCAAAAATTCAATAAAACATTAATCATTAAAAATAATGAAGAAAATAAGCAGGTAAAAATTCAATTTCAAAATAATGGTAAAGATTATAAAAAAATGAAGAAAAAAAAAATGAAAATGAAAAAAAAAATGGTTATCTCCCCTTAGATTCTATACATAAACAATTTATCTGACGGTGATAGTATACAGCTGCAAGTTCAGCGTTACAAAATCACAGAAGTGGTTATGGTACATGGGTAGGTAAAGGCACATAAACACTCAGCAATATTAGTAGGTCAAGGACACAATGTCAAGGTTATTTAATGTGTGGAGCCCAAGGTCATGCTGGCTGTGATGATCTGACCATCACAGGTGACAATGGTTACCTAAGCCCTCAAAAGACAAATCCTCCATAATCTGGTCCATTTTCTGAGTTGATCCTGGATATCAAGTGAAATTCACACAGTGCTTAAATTGATTTACTTCATAAAAGTATTTCATACATCGCTAATTAAGATTTTCTTTCTTAATAAAAATTAAACTCTAATTCAAACTTAATTCCAATTTATGTTTTAATATAAAAAAGATTGTGTATTAAGGAAAAGTAACTATAAAATTCAGAAAATAAATTTTACGGTGTGGCAAAATGTAACAATTTTATGAATGCCTTTACACATTGATTTCTTTTTCTTCATTACCTTAACTACAAGTTACATTTTAATAACAACAATAACAGTCAATGTCTTAATGTATATAAACTTTGATGTATCCCCTTTAGGTCAAAATCGGTAAACAACAGCTATAGCTACACCGAACGACTAACTCAAACATTGTGAAGATTAGAACATACTATTTCTCTGTTTTAATTTTTTTTTTTTACTCATTCAACTATTCAAAACTTAGGTTTAAACAAGCATTAATATAATTTGTCTTCAACTGGACAAACAGTGCAAGATTTATGACTGTTAATTCTTTTTATTGTTAAAATTTGTACCCGACTTTCGTGGACAGCAACTACATATAACAATACCTAAAATAAGTAGATGTATATTTGGTAAATGAAGGTTTGCTTTGTTTTTTTCACCGAGTATATTGCCCTGTGAACAGTCAGAGATATTTTGAGTCTTCTTGAAGTCGCTTCCAACTGAACAACATATGGGAGGCCCATCAGATAATGTTCAAAGCAATCAGGGTAAAAGTCTTGCCTAAGGATACAACCACCACTGTACAGACTGGTCAGTTTCTCAGGAAAGTCACAAACTACCCACAAATAATGCACATCAAACTACGCAGATCATTGCCTGTGGTTGCGTAGGCTCACGGCCTCCGTAGAAGAAGGCAAGACATAATGGAAGTCATATAACAGTTGGTGTTAAAACTGAAGTCTATTTAACGTATTGTAATTCTAGTATTAAAATATCATCACTGTCTGTTGCATTAAATACATCGTTTATCATAATTTTAGTATCAAACTATTGAATTATTGTATGAAGTATATTGTAATAAAACTGATAAAAGTTGCAAGAAGCATTACATTCAACACTATATTGCAGCATATGATATTGACACAATATGATAGAGTAATAGAAATATATCACTTTTACACACATATAAAATATTAAGATAGAAAAGTGAAATATTATTTTATATATATACTAGTGTAAAATATTAACATATTACAAAAGCTAAATCATATAAAATATTACATCATTTAGGAAAGTATTTTACCATTTGTATACTAGTATAAAATATTACATCATTTAGGAAAGTTTTTTATCATTTGTATACTAGTATAAAATATTACATCATTTAGAGGAAAGTATTTTATCATTTGTATACTAGTATAAAATATTACATCATTTAGGAAAGTATTTTATCATTTGTATACTAGTATAAAATATTACATCATTTAGGAAAGTATTTTATCATTTGTATACTAGTATAAAATATTACATCATTTAGGAAAGTATTTTATCATTTGTATACTAGTATAAAATATTACATCATTTAGGAAAGTATTTTATCATTTGTATACTAGTATAAAATATTACATCATTTAGGAAAGTATTTTATCATTTGTATACTAGTATAAAATATTACATCATTTAGGAAAGTATTTTATCATTTGTATACTAGTATAAAATATTACATCATTTAGGAAAGTATTTTATCATTTGTATACTAGTATAAAATATTACATCATTTAGGAAAGTATTTTATCATTTGTATACTAGTATAAAATATTACATCATTTAGGAAAGTATTTTATCATTTGTATACTAGTATAAAATATTACATCATTTAGGAAAGTATTTTATCATTTGTATACTAGTATAAAATATTACATCATTTAGGAAAGTATTTTATCATTTGTATACTAGTATAAAATATTACATCATTTAGGAAAGTATTTTATCATTTGTATACTAGTATAAAATATTACATCATTTAGGAAAGTATTTTATCATTTGTATACTAGTATAAAATATTACATCATTTAGGAAAGTATTTTATCATTTGTATACTAGTATAAAATATTACATCATTTAGGAAAGTATTTTATCATTTGTATACTAGTATAAAATATTACATCATTTAGGAAAGTATTTTATCATTTGTATACTAGTATAAAATATTACATCATTTAGAGGAAAGTATTTTATCATTTGTATACTAGTATAAAATATTACATCATTTAGGAAAGTATTTTATCATTTGTATACTAGTATAAAATATTACATCATTTAGGAAAGTATTTTACCATTTGTATACTAGTATAAAATATTACATCATTTAGGAAAGTATTTTATCATTTGTATACTGCTTTGAAATATTACTGTAGTATAGAAGTCTTATAATTGTATCTCTTGAAGTGTGTTATATATTGATTACTGTAGTTAACCAAATTGTTTACAGTAACTTGAACCGCCTTAAACAAATTATTTTATTGATTTATTTTGACAAAAGTTTTCTTTCTGCCTGGGTGAGTTGTTTTCATTAAGAGACGTACAAATCTACCTGCCAGTGAAGCTATCTATAAGTCAATATGTCCAGGCCATTGTTTGTACAGAGATGATGTATCGTTGTTCAATGAAGCTCGCCTTTGGTCTTGGTCGACAGAACAGATGGTTGTATACTACACAGGTTTCGATTGGTCAATATTGGACCACAATAGCCTACGATCAATAACACTACTTCCGTCACCACTTTATTATTGATCCTCTTCCGACCTCATGGAATTTAATTTGAAAACAACCATTGTTCCTGTCAGAGGCACCCCATATATCACCCATTTACGAAGGACGTTGATATAGAAAAAAAATTGAGAGGAAATGTGCAGTAGTATTTTCTAGTATCATTGATTGTTATCAAAAACCCGATCGTAAGTGATTATTTCTATTGAACGGGTCGGGCAGGCAGGATTAGGCACAGGTAACATGCTAAGGTGCAATCGTGTGAATAGAGCGCAGTTCATCTCCTAGAGAGGTCTTCAATAGCCTCCTGGGAGTCATTCAACGTCAGAAACGATCCTTGCTCAAGCAGCAAATAAGCCACATTGGCACGCGCCACCAAGCAAGCATTGCATGCTGGGAGAAATACAATGTAGGCATTCGGTAAAGAGATGAAATTTTCATCAGCTGAAGCCGATTAAAGTAGGCTGTGATGCTGGAAAGATTGCGCTCGATCAGGCATGGGCAGGCCCTGTCAGTTTGGGTTATCTGACTAGTGTAATATACGGTCAGTACGATGTCAGGAGCTGTAACCATAGGAATGTATCAACAACCCCCTCCTCCCCCCTACAGCTGACTGGCAACACCATGTCACTGCACGTCCTGCAACAATCTATCCACCCCCATATTACTTTCATGGAATGGGTTTCTCATTCATCTGGAACTATCCATTTTGGTATTATGGGTGGCATGACCACTATGTAGAACGTTAATGGTTTACCCATTTTCATGAACAATTTATTGTTGTGCTGTATTATTTGACAATGATATAATGTTTATCAAAACCATATTATATACTAATGCATAAACTGCACCACTTAGGCAACAGAACATAACAACAGTAAGTAGAAATATGGTACAAACTCATTTGCATAATATAATGAATACCAAATATGGTATCAACTCATTAGCATAACGAATGGAATACTGATTAAGGTACAACCGCCTATTTGCAAGATACTTGTATTTATCCTATTAGAGATGAAACCTTGCTCATTGAAGGTGATCAATTGGCACTTAATTATGCTATGCAATCAAGGGGTTCAATATATTGTATGGATGGTTATTCATGACCTAAAACCAGAAAGTGGTTTGTTTGTATAGGTTGTGTGAAAATTGATGAGATAAAACAGAAAAATACGATAAATAATGAAGAAATGAATTAATGAGGAAATTTGACAGTAATGGAATAAAAAACTAAAGAATTTCCATTTGTGAAGTAATTTCTAATGTTTACTTAATAAATCATTAAATAAAAACCACAAAAAGTGATAACTGTCGAGGGATTATTGATCTGACGAACATCAGTAACAAAACCTATAGCTTTTGTGAGGATCATCATAGGAAACAAACGTCCTGACAATAATTATTCCTCAGTTCTAGAATTTGGTCCTAATCAAATCATGATACTTCCATTTGTAAATTTATCAGAAATCCTAGTACCTTGATTGGAATTTCAAACTCATCCCAGAAATGAATTAAAAAAAAACCGAAAATGCCTAAAATCATCATTAAGATATCGTCATGGAAATTGTCCCTTGTGGATAATTTTTAGTCTTTCAGTTAGATTAATGTCATTTAAATGCATTTTCTTTTTCTGTTCTTTAATTGAATTTATCAAAAATAACTGCAAGGTCGAGATCAAAGTTTATAACCAGTCTTGGTGAGCTACGGGGTCAAGATCACATAATCACACCTGTTGAGCTACAGGATCAAGATCACAGCATATAACCAGTCCTTGTGAGCTGCAAGATTGAGAATGCTGTATATGACCAGCCCTGTTGAGCTGTGGGGTCAAGATCATAGTGTATAACTAGCTCTGGTGAGCTGCAAGGTTGAGAATGTTGTATATGACCGGCCCTTGTGAGCTATGAGGTTGAGATCACTCTGTATGACCAGTCCTTGTGAGCTGTGAGGTTGAGATCACTGTATGACCAGTCCTTGTGAGCTGTAAGGTTGAGATAACTCTGTATGACCAGTCCTTGTGAGCTGTGAGGTTGAGATCACTGTATGACCAGTCCTTGTGAGCTATGAGGTTAAGATCACTGTGTATGACCGGCCCTTGTGAGCTATGAGGTTAAGATCACTGTGAATGACCGGCCCTTGTGAGCTATGGGGTTGAGATCACTGTGAATGACCGGCCCTTGTGAGCTATGAGGTTGAGATCACTGTATGACCAGCCCTTGTGAGCTGTGAGGTAGAGATCACTCTGTATGACCAGCCCTTTTGAGCGATGAGGTTGAGATCACTGTGTATGACCAGTCCTTTTGAGCTGTGAGGTAGAGAACACTGTGTATGACCAGCCCTTGTGAGCTGTGAGGTAGAGAACACTGTGTATGACCGGCCCTTTTGAGCTGTGAGGTAGAGAACGCTGTGTATGACCAGCCCTTGTGAGCTGTGAGGTAGAGAACACTGTGTATGACCAGTCCTTGTGAGCTATGAGGTAGAGATCACTGTGTATGACCAGCCCTTGTGAGCTGTGAGGTAGAGATCACTCTGTATGACCAGCCCTTGTGAGCTGTGAGGTAGAGAACACTGTGTATGACCAGTCCTTGTGAGCTATGAGGTAGAGATCACTGTGTATGACCAGCCCTTGTGAGCTGTGAGGTAGAGAACACTGTGTATGACCAGCCCTTGTGAGTTATGAGATTGAGATCACTGTGTATGACTGGCCCTTGTGAGCTATGAGGTAGAGAGTTTAGCCTTGGTGACCTGTGAGGTCGTGAGCTCACTATATTAACTCTATTTTATATAAATCTTTAACAAGCTTGTTTTCAAAATTGAAATGAAATAGGTGGATACTGGACCATATGGCGCATTCAGCAGAATACTTGTATTAATTACCAACCTGTATTAATTACCGTACCTGTATTAATTACCATATATGCATTCATTACCACCCTTGTATAAATTACATGCATAGTTTCAATGAATGTATTGATGAACAGCTATTTCTATTCATCAAATCCCGAGTATTAAATTCAAATGGCCAACAGATGTTACTCGGGGTAAATTTTCAATCCATGGTGTAGTTTTTGGATTTATTAAGGAGAGGTACACAGATGCTGTATAAACAGTCAACTCTACTTCTCCCACTGTCTACAACACCAGAACAGTCTACTCCACCTCATATCGAAGTTTCATTACATTCAGCATTGTCACTTATTTAAGAACCTCTGCTTCCCAAACATATTTATTATCTAATAAATGATATTTAAAGAAAAGGACAAAAAACTGATAGAAAATATTAAATACAATTTCTTCCTGTTAACAGAAATTGAAGGAAACTGACCCTAGTTTTATCTAACCATTATGACTTCAATCAAATAGACCTGCTATATCTCTATTTACAAGAAGTTAGAAATATTTTGGTGTAATAAGGCTGACATGTCAGTGTGTAGACTTGCTTCTGTTCAAATCAATGATTAAGTAGAAACTTTGTAATCTTTAGTTTCTCATATAACAAATTTGAAGGAATCATGAAAGTTGAGGATATACACTGGCTTTGAAAACCATCAGAAGACAATGCTGTGATGATAAGTACTAACCCTTGAAATCATACAAACTAACAGCTTTGCTGTGAGTAGGCAGCTAATTAGCCGACTCCAGATAGTGGTATAGATTTTATGAAATTCAACATGTCTTTGAAATGAAAGCTTCATCTATCTTTTTAACCTTTCCACTTTAAAGTATCTTTTTTGTACATATTTGAATTCAGAAATTTCTATTCTACAGTCACCATGGTTATACACCCACCTCCTTGTTTGCCAAGAGCTGGATTGACCTTGACTTGTTGTTCCATCTTTGGATGCAGGAATGTGTCCGCATCCTCCCCAAACATGTCGTACAGCTTACTTTGGTACCATTGTAATTCTTCCTGGGTAGGTTTCTGCCAAGTCTTTTTTGCTTCCTTCAGATTGAAGTTGGAGGGTGTCCTAGACATTGGTGGATGGGATGCCTGAAAGTCCACGGACTTTCCCCCTGCACCCATTGTCTTGCCACCATCATTTCCATTAGAAGATTGGTCAGTGGCTGCTGACGACTTTGCATTCTTTTTCTTTTCCAACCGATTAGCTTTTCTGTCTTCCTCTGTAAGTAAAAAAATCCTAAATTTATAAATTCACTTCACTACCATTAACACTGTTATCTCATAGTTCCTAGTTCATCCACTTAATTTTTACACAGGACATTCTATTGTACAAAGAGTGACGACCCTTCATCAAAAGACAAGTTCAAATTTACACAGAGTATGTCACTTCTACCTAAACATCTATTTAAAAGTTTATTAATTGTCTTTGGGTTTCATTACACATCATCAGAGATGTTTCAATGAGAAGAAAATTTCACAAATGTTATCAGGAACTTCCTGTTTTTCAATTTTAAGAAACTTGCTTCAAAAATTTTAATTTAATTTGAAACTTCTGAGATTTGTGTCATGAAATCTCATATATAAAATAAAAATTTATTAAATATCCTACAGTTTACCAAACACCAGCATAACAAACATGTATTACAAAATCATACAATGTTTTATATTTCATACAAGATTTTAATGAAACCACGTCTAATAACTTTTTATATGTGAGGCTGCCTCTGACAAGCTAAAATGAAATATTTGAAACGAGTTTCATCAACTGTACATAAAAAGGAAACAAATTGAAGGTCCTTATATCATAAATCAATTATTTTTGCAAAATAAAAAGAAGAAATTGTCCATTTGTCAGTCTTGAAGTCATCTCTGCATTTAACATGTATGTCATAATCTGCAAAATCATGACTGATATCATTCTGCACGATTTCCCTTCTTCACAATAGGTCATAGGTCACAGAAGTACATATGAACTCGACAATAACATGGTTATTGTGTTATAATTAAATGGTGTCTAAAAAATTTTGTTTTCAAAATTCCTATCTAAAACCATCAAGCTGAGTGTTATAAATCTACCTTGAGTATGAAATAAATCAGAACATCTAAACAGATATTTTTAATGTGATCACGCAACTCAACAACAACCTGATGCAAGCTAATAGCTAATCTCGTAAATTCAAATACCACAAAACCTTCAACAAGGAATACAATCAAAACATAGGAAAAACACCTTACAGTGCTCAAAAACTCTTTCCTGGTTGTGTATCAAGCTTGAGAACAGCAGAGATATATCAAATCAAATACAGTGTGACACATATCACATTTTTATCTTGAAGCCACAAACAGAAGAGAATAGTTTGAAGTGATAAACATTCATCCTATAGTTAGACACAGTATAGGAAATGTTCCCATTGGTCCAACAACTCCCTCAGGCAACCATCTTACCGAATGTGTAATTTTCAGAAAACCAGGAAATTGCAGACGTGGAAATTAATTGTGCTTTACCTACCGTCGATGGCTTCTAAATGAGTCCTTGAGGAGGACTTTGACTTCAAACCAAACATGACGAAATAGTCAAAATTTCTATGACGCCTCTGTTCACCATTAGCTTCCTGTAGATCTTCTTTAACACAGGACAGATCCCAACAACATGCTCGCTATGGGATTAATTTAGTGAGAACGTCAGATTAGAAATTGCCTCTATTCACATTCAATATTGCTTATTATAATCCAACTACTGAATTAAGTTCTATCCCAAGAGAATTTTCTGTATGGCATAAAAAATTAAACACACTTTTTTCTTCCTTTTAAGACCATGAACAATGATACACCAAATCTGAGCTGAGATTAGCATGGCTATGATCCACTGAGGACAATAAGATTAGCTTTGTGCTGTACACTAGTATTACACCCTGTAGAGTATGTTTATATCCTTGACATGTAAAGTCCAGTTCTCTCCAGGTTGTGTTAAGCATCAAACCCTAATTTACATTTCTATTCTGGTGTCAGAAGACTCCCTGTAATAAGGAAATAAGGTTCACTGGTTTCTATAATTATTCTAGCTACTGGAGACAATAGCTGTGCCAGAGAGAGTCCATTTTCAACAAAAATCATCTAGAATTTAATTGACAGAGTTAATATTTCTGCATCAAATCTTTCAGATTCTAAAGAAACTTCAGTTCACATTTCGGAGATAAAAAGAAAAAGGTTACCAGTACCTGTAAACATGACTTTAATTTCCTTGGTTTGTTGACAATTTATTCTCAAAATTTGATAAACTTTCGTTTTTGAATAAATCTTTTCACTTTTTATGAGAATTTAAGTCATAGATAAAACAAAGCAACTTTTGGTATTGAGTGTGTTGTGTGAATCTTCTTATAAATACTGAAACTAGAACTTATCTAAAAGACGTTTAGTTTATGCCTCTTCAAATGTGTGCCAAGTACCCATATATGACATTGTTCTATACATAGTAACCATGACCACTAACCTTCAAACCCAAACATGTTGATTTCTGTATGAAGTTTTATCAATACCACTCCCCCTGCCCCACACTTCCTTAAAGTGACGGCATTGATAGGGGATACTGATGGACATGGAAGACTGCATACCCGTGCCCCACCCCTCACTCCAATTCTCAAATTAAAACTTCTATAAAGACAGATCTTATAAAATAATGATTAGAAGCACAATCCTGTCCTGCTCGTGTGTTACAGAAGACTAGACCATACAACAGAAAGTTTGAACAATGGCTGTGTCTCCATGGAGACTGTTGTACGTTTGTCAGTGTCCAAACTTATCATAAACACCATACTCACATGACACAAACATTGCACAAAAACGCCCCATTCAATACATATAACTGATAGGAACACAAGCATTGCATTGTGGGTAATCATCAGAGACTTGTTTCTAAAACGAATCAATCACCAAATTAATATGCTGAGATCACAAAACGCTTTTACATTCCTAGCCTGTTGTCCAAGACCAAACAAAACTATTAGATAAAACTTCATCACAAACAACCTCATAAAACCCATCAATCACTGGACAGTACATCTCAAAGATTGTATGTCAATCATATTGACCATAAATGACACAACCAGTTTGATGTTTACATTGTATTTACTTAATTTTTTATGAGATATTTGTTACTGACTAAAAATTCTTTGGATTAAACACCAATTTTCACTGCTCTACCTTTGCTGTTTCTATGGTTCCAATTATGACATCATTATGGTTACAAAAGGAATGGAATTTACCACTATAAAAATTATGCTTCAGTCAGACTTTTTAGTGAGAATGTCATCCCTACAGACAGGTCTGTAAGGTATTGTCTAACCCAATACTAGACTTAGTAAGACCAAGGGACTAACAATCTCACAATGTGGGACAGAATGCGACATTCTAAACATATTTCTGCAAAACAACACAATCTCAGTGGGCTTATTATGAGAGGAAGAGACTTACTGTCAAATAAATATGATCTATCAAGTTTTATTTTTGACTTTCTGTAAACATTGACGGTTTATTAAACAATCTCTATAAATAGATTATCTGACTTGATCAACACAATTTTTATCTAACCTTCTCCTCCAAGGTGGCTTATTCACTAAGAGAAGAAGTGAAAATGACATTGTCTTCCTGATAAAAGATTTGATTACCATCTCTTTGCTGAACTCAGGCATTTATTACACTACGTTTGTGTTGTCTGTACTGACTGAAAACCATATAAGACTTTCGACTTATTTTGTTCATTGATATGTACCAGATTTACACTGCAATAAGCCCATTCATATCTACATAATCAATACCAATAAATGATATACCATTGTCTTGTGATAAGCCCACCCTCGACATCGATGTTATATATTGTCACCCTTGGTTAAATGCAGGATAAAATTGGCGGTATCCCCGTATCATCATTCCCTCTGAGCTTGTTCTTCTTTACGATAGATCTTGGCAACTGACATTACAATAAGTGAAAATAAATGGTTGACTCACAAAATTATTCTTTTCTGACTTAAAAAAGGGTATTAGTGCTCCGTTTCAAATAAGGGATCTCTTTGTTTCGATCGGCTTATTCAACAGTGTTTGCAATCGAAAGGCAAGATATATTTTCTGTTCTTGGCTCCAAGCCTGACATCAAAGCTTGTAGTTTGGAAAAAATCAATAGGTGCGTAGATATCTATCTACTTGTGAGAGGTATCTGGGCACGTAAGCAACAGGCAGTGCCATCTCGCAACAGAAACGCATCGTATGTACACAACATCTTCGCCCGGACGACCAGCGGTTGTTAATGCGCAGTTACAATTCCACATGGATTTCAAATATACATCTATTGTTACATTAGCAGAATATTTTTATCGTGATATTTCGCATTTTGGTAAGGTAAAGTTCGTCATTAGTGTGTAAGGCACAGAGTTGTATAATTGTGTCAATAAAAAATAAAAATTTTGGGAATGGTCTTATGGTCTTGTAAGCAAACTTACCCAACGAATCCTTACACTTCTGCTCAAGAGCTGCTTCCCGTGCATTCTTCTTGGCTTTTTCACTTTCTTTTTTCTGGAAAAACCAAAAATAATTTCTAATGATTCAAATTGTTATGTCACTTCAACGAAAACCTTAAATCAGAGAAATACAGGTAGGAAAGTAAAAAAAAACATGAAGATCTGTACACCTCAATTAATTATCAAACTTCAGTGTATTTACAGTGTGTTTACACCATAATTAATTATCAAACTTCAGTGTATTTACAGTGTGTGTACACCTTAATTAATTATCAACCTGCAGTGTATTTACAGTGTGTTTACACGTCAATTAATTATCAAACTTCAGTGTATTTACAGTGTGTTTACACCTCAATTAATTATCAAACTTCAGTGTATTTACAGTGTGTTTACACCTCAATTAATTATCAAACTTCAGTGTATTTACAGTGTGTGTACACCTTAATTAATTATTCAGTGTATATACAGTGTGTTTACACCTTAATTAATTATCAAACTTCAGTGTATTTACAGTGTGTTTACACCTCAATTATCAAACTGCAGTGTATATACAGTGTGTTTACACCTCAATTAATTATCAAACTTCAGTGTATTTACAGTGTGTGTACACCTTAATTAATTATCAAACTTCAGTGTATTTACAGTGTGTTTACACCTCAATTATCAAACTGCAGTGTATATACAGTGTGTTTACACCTCAATTAATTATCAAACTTCAGTGTATTTACAGTGTGTTTACACCTCAATTAATTATCAAACTTCAGTGTATTTACAGTGTGTGTACACCTTAATAAATTATCAAACTTCAGTGTATTTACAGTGTGTGTACACCTCAATTAATTATCAAACTTCAGTGTATTTACATTGTGTGTACACCTCAATTAATTATCAAACTTCAGTGTATTTACAGTGTGTTTACACGTCAATTAATTATCAAACTTCAGTGTATTTACAGTGTGTTTACACCTCAATTAATTATCAAACTGCAGTGTATTTACAGTGTGTTTACACCATAATTAATTATCAAACTTCAGTGTATTTACAGTGTGTGTACACCTTAATTATCAACCTGCAGTGTATATACAGTGTGTTTACACCTCAATTAATTATCAAACTTCAGTGTATTTACAGTGTGTTTACACCTCAATTATCAAACTGCAGTGTATATACAGTGTGTTTACACCTCAATTAATTATCAAACTTCAGTGTATTTACATTGTGTGTACACCTTAATTAATTATCAAACTTCAGTGTATTTACAGTGTATTTACAGTGTATTTACAGTGTATTCACAGTGTATTTACAGTGTATTCACAGTGTATTTACAGTGTATTTACAGTGTGTGTACGTCTCTAAATAAATGAACATATATAACAAGAAGTTTATACCATAAAAGTCACTTAAATTTTATACCTGAGAAACGATCTACACTTACTGGGTATAAAAGAATGTGAGGTATATCAGAGGAAATGTCTTCTATTGAGGAAGTTAACACGAGTTATTCATGCTCTGGTACCCTTTATGATATTTATAAGGATATGTGATAGTCTCTCAGGTTCTCTGTGTAAAACATTTCCTTATCTCAAATAATTTTTATTGTTGAACTTGAAGGGAATGTGACCTTTAACCCATGACCCTTGATCTGTAATGGTGGAGTTTAATGATAACTCCCTGTAATACACCATCCACATGATTAACAAGAATGGAATAGCTCAAAACTTACAGAACTTATGATAAAATATTTTATTCAATAAATCTGTTTAACAATGAAAAATACAGACACATGGAATTGATCTGTTCACCAACCATAAGGATATTTTTGTCATGCTCTCAAACAATGAGGCACTACAGTGAAAAACATCTATAATGATTTAATACAGTTAAAATAAACACATGAAAAAAGATAATTTGATGTACATCATATTTAAATTATTATAGATCTGATCTATGGATATCTGGGCTCAATGATCTTTGCTTTTTTAAAACGATTTTTTGTACCTGACCCGTCAGTTAGAAATCCTCACAACTTATTATTATAAAATAAAGAATTGATGAGAAATTGAAAGCTTCTCTACGCAGATTTCATATTAAATTTCACCATTTTCACCAATTTATGGTAAAAACAATATAGTTGTCCGCCAGAAGAATGACAAATGTACAATTTATTGTAAAAGAGAACCACAAACACTACACACACTGACCCAATGGTTCTCAAATTACCTCAGAGATAAATGTAGCAGAAGAGGCTGTCTGAAAACTTCCCTACCGTGTCATATATCATGTAATCACAAACTGAAGCTGTATATATCATGTCAGCAATCATATACACCATGAAACCAGTAAAACTTACCAGAATTCAGTTAATGCAAATCAATCCATATCTTATTTCTTACAGAAAAAATGTAAACCAGTACTAAGTATTACAAGCAAAAACAAATGTCTATCTGATATAATTATTATGCAAGTATTATAGTGGTTAACTAATGACATTAAGAATTCTGAAAAACAATTTATTAAATTTTTTCTTTCATTTTTTTTTTTTTTTTTTTAGGGTGGGGGGGTGGGGGGAGAGGAGATCAAGAGTTATTTCCCTTGTCAAGGAAAATGACCTTTTTTCTTTATACTAACATCTCTATTTTTCCTGAATTGCAATCTTTTTCTGCTTACATTAAACTCAATACAAAGCCAAAAGGTAGATACCTACCTACATACATATATATATATATATATATATTTTGCTACACTAACTTTTTTTCAAAACTAACAACAATGTGTACATTATTTGAATCAAATTTTGAAATACATTTGTTAACTAATGATATTGACAAGGGTAAAATGAATGGCACTGAAGAGTTGTCTAAACCAATCATTAATTATAATCTTAGACAAAATCCACACCGAAACTCAGATGGAATTATTGTCATGCCTTAAATCTCTCTACTAAGGTAAAGAAAATGAATTAAGCTGTTGCAAAAGCTAGCATTACTACCTGTGGTGGGTAAAGCTGAGGATTAACAGGTTTGAAGCTGGAAGATATTGCATAAGGTATTTGTTCACAAGGCACATATAGAATGATTATATTTCAACATCAACAGAACAAATTAAGTGTTATGTCGAAATGTCCGTCCTCCCCCTCCTCTTCTCTATCCCATCGCCGGTAGCTCGGCTACTTTGATCGATGCCTTGCACCATTTTCTTTCCACGAAGTATTTCATTGATTTACATTTTCATGGAGCAGTAATAACACATCATTATGTACAAGCGATTTAATGGGTTTTTTCCATCCTTGATAACAACCAAGTTTCAGTATCTGCATCCGACATGGCTGCCAATGACTCAAGATAAATTACCTTCCCGATATATCTGGTCTACTGTTCCAGATTTTTCATATTTTATTTACTTAACTGCTGTTTTGGACATCTGAGTAAAAATGAAGAACTCGTCATTTCTGTGTCTAGACAAGATAATTTCCAATTTGTCAATACAATATTAAAGTGTTAATTATTTTCGCATAAAAATGTACTATGAAAATATATTACCATATAGAAAGTGCCAAATGAATTCCATTACGACATAATTAAAAAGGTACTGAAACCTTCTATCTTCACAGCTGTTTTACTAATTTAATCAACAGCTTGCATTAAGTTTCACGATCTGTGCGATATTTCACAGAATCTCAATTAATCATAGCTGCCTTCCACTTATACTGAGTTATCACATATGATTTTGATATATTGTGTTCATGATATCTTTGGAAGAGCAGTCATACAAACGGCTAAACAAACACACTTTTGCCCAAATGCATATAATTATCTCCATGAAGAAGTTCATGAACACTCAATGTTTTGTGTTTTTATGTGGAAATGAGAGTCTTGTAACGTTTTTGTAGAGAAGTATTGACTGAATTTGCTGACAAGGATGATGCAACTGTCAACATTTGTTCATACAACAAACTGTGGTACTGTTTTAACTCCAAATAAATTTTGGAACATTACAGCTAATTCAAATAATCTAAAAATACTGCCCAGTGAACCTGTCTGGTTGTGATAGATTTTTACAGTCTGATTATCCTATTCTATTTTTAGAAACAATGACCTTGACCATATCTATTAAAACAAATAAATAATGTATATATACTCTAATTTCACAATTCAACATAATTTCAGACTTAACCTATCTGAGATATTGTCCACAGAAATGAAAGCATGGTGCCCTCACAATTATAACATGTAAAACACATAGGTATACCACTGTAGTTCAAAACTTTATAAAAAAGATGATTTTACAAATCAACCTATGATCTGGGTAATACTTGTACTTCCGTAAAATCTGATTCATTAAATAGGTAAATGCATGTGCTTGTTTACTGAACTTGTGAAGCAGTTAAACTGAGATATTGTCCACAGAAATGAAAGCATGGTGCCCTCACAATTATAACATGTAAAACACATAGGTATACCACTGTAGTTCAAAACTTTATAAAAAAGATGATTTTACAAATCAACCTATGATCTGGGTAATACTTGTACTTCCGTAAAATCTGATTCATTAAATAGGTAAATGCTTGTGCTTGTTTACTGAACTTGTGAAGCAGATAAACTGAACATGGAAATATCTTCACTTCAAAATGATATCTGAATTGGGAGATATTTGAATTCATTTTTCAATACTGTAACTTGAATATATGTCTGAACTTGCCAATAACATGACTAAGTGGCTTGTAGGTGCTATTACATACCTGTAAACCTGTATAATTTCCAACAACAACACACTGGAACTACTAATTATACTGGGCAGCTATGAAGAATGGAAATTTACTCGGGATTTAGATACCCGATGGCCTAAACTAATCTACAGAAAACACTTATCCCTTCCATCAATATGCTGTCACTACAACCCTGTATTTTTCTCCTTCACAAAAGACAGATTTTATTTGGATGTTCAAATTAAACCTATACTTTATTTTAGTTTGTTTCACAAGGAGATTACTGTTGGAACTACCACGAGAAGACATGAACAGTAGAATTACTGAGGATTAGCCAGAAACTTTGTATG